CCTCAGTGCCTGGCTTTTGAGTCTGGTTTCTCATTGGCGTGATGTTTTTGAATTTGTTCATATTGTAGCATGTCAGTGCTCCTTTTTTTTGTACGACTGGATAGTACTGCGCTAGTGTATATACCACTGCTCTCTAGTCCTCATGTGGAGACACTTGAACTATTTTCATCTCTCAGCTTTGGGAGTAATGTTACAAATATGTGTGTACATTGATTTGATAATTCAACTCTTTTGGCTATAAACTTGGGAGTCAGAATTGCTGAGAGAGGGAGATTGCTGAGAGATGGAGAGCCCCAAGGTTGGACAGCACAGGGTTTTTATACACTAAAGGGCAATTCCACACAATTCCACAGTCATGATTGGTCAGTTTAACTGTTAACATTTAAAAAGAGCAAGTTGGCAGGCTTCAATTGATGGGTTTGAAGCAAGCAACTTTTGGTTTTTTAAAGATTTATTTATTTATTGGAAAGTCAGATATACAGAGAGGAGGAGAGACAGGAAGATCTTCGTCCGATGACAACTGCCGATGCTATGCCGATCAGAAGCCAGGAGCCAGGAACAACTTCTGGGTATCCCACATGGGTGCAGGGTCCCAAGCTTTGGGCCGTCCTCGACTGCTTTCCCAGGCCACAAGCAGGGAGCTGGATGGGAAGTGGAGGTGCCAGGATTAGAACCAGTGCCTATATGGGCTCCCGGGGCGTTCAAGGCGAGGACTTTAGCCACTAGGCCACTTCGCCAGGCCCTGAAGCAAGCAACTTTAAAAAAGTATGAACCACTGGGCTCTGGGTAGCGAGCAAGTCTTACCTAAAAAGCACACCAAGGGCCTCCTTCCTGAGGAGTGACCTGTCAGGTGTCACGTAGGCTGTCAGTCCTGGAGTTCACACGTGTACCTGCCCCCCCAACCCCCCTCCGCCCCAGCCAAGCAAGCCGGAAACCACAGAAGCAGAAAACACTGAGGTTTCTCAGTGCAAGATGATAGCCTAGTTGCTAGGCCACCTCGCTGAGCCCTACTCATTAATTTTTTAAAGATTTATTTATTTTTATTGCAAAGTCAGATTTACAGAGAGAAGGAGAGCGAGAAAGAACTTACTAATTTTTGATTGGCACATTCATGTGATTAGAAAAATGTTTACATTGAAAAAGACGTTGCCGGAGTCCAGCTCCAGCTGAGTTCGGAACTCGCGAAGGGTGCATGGATGAGGCGCAAAGAAAGAAAGAGACGGACCACTAGGTCTTCATCATCATAATGGACAATGCACAAAAGCTGTCCGCTTTATTTATACAAAATCAGTCAAACTCTGGCTCAGACTTTTTACATCATGGTCAAGTGGGTGTTTCTAAAGATAATTCTGCCATTTGTTTCACCTAAGGCTAGGGTGTTATCCACCTGGCGCCTGCACCTGGCTAGGAAAAAGTTCTCAATAGATGGTGCGTATCAATCAGTAACATTCCTGCCACAATTACTCTACAGCTTGGTCTTGAGACAGTCAAGGAAGGAAGGGCTTCACAGGAGGGACCTAAAAGATCACAGAAAGAGGGAAAGAATAGGTTCCACTACACCTGAAGACGGATCACCCTTAATTAGCATAGGATCAAAAGGGGAGTTAGCACCCTTGATTAGCATATTGTCAAGGATGCAGTGTTACAGCAATAACAGCTTTTTGGCTAAAAACGATACAGCAACATCAGCCTCTAAGCTCCCATTGATATTTAACAGTAACTCCACAGAGGCAGACAATGCCTAAATAGATTACAGAAATCTCAATGGGGTTGTCCGGTGTCCATGCAAAGGGAGGCGGAGCTGCATTCAGGTGTTGTAGAGACATCTGCTGGGCCTTGCCACACAGCGGGAAGTTCCTTGCAGCCTTGCCTGCAATAGAACTCTTCACACCTTCCTGTCTTCCACATCCATCACATGGACTCCAGCAAGATGTATATTGCGAAGTTCCCCTATTACTCTTATTTCCAGTGACTTAATTCTGTTAATTGAGTTGATCGGCGTTTGAACGGTTTTCATCTTTTGGCTGATTTCCCGTAGCTGTATCTGTGGCAACCACTGCTTTTTGTTATTTGCTGTATTGTTCTGGAGATATTTAATACATACAAGAAAATGTACAGATCTTAGCCTTATTTTAAGAAGGTTAAATGAGCTCTCCCTGCCTCCAAAGTTTATTTATTCTTCTATGTGGATCTGGATTTCCACTTACCTCATTATTATGAGTAAAATGGGATTGGTAAATATTTTTTTGTACCTGTAAAAATTGTTGCGTCCTGCTAGCTCAGGGAAATGAGAAACAATAGAGCCATGGCATGGAAGGGGTATCGGAGCCCTGCAGCTCAGGAGCAGCCAAAGGAAAGGTGTGGAGGGTTTGCAGATGGAACCTCATTCTTTAGTGTGGGGTTAAGGAAGCAGACACTGACAGTTTTGAAGAAAATGAGCTTAAAGCAGTACCATATAATCGTTTACATTTTTTTTCAAAATAAGTGGTTTTGTTCAAAGAAAATGTAAGCAGTTTTGACTTACTGTATTAAGGTGTATGTGATATCGTGCTTAGTGTCTGTGTTATTCCATTTATATGACTACAGCATTGTATTTAGTCAGTTATTGAGGGACGTTGAATTACCTCCCTCTTTTCTTTTTTCTTTTTTTTTTTTTTTTTATTGGAAAGGCGGATATACAGAGAGGAGAGACAGAGAGGAAGATCTTCCATCCGATGATTCACTCCCCAAGTGAGCGCAACTGGTCGATGCTATGCCAATCAGAAGCCAGGAGCCTCTTGCGGGTCTCCCACGCGGGTGCAGGGTCCCAAAGCTTTGGGCCGTCCTCAACTGCTTTCCCGGGCCACAAGCAGGGAGCTGGATGGGAAGAGGGGCTGCCGGGATTAGAACCGGGGCCCACATGGGATCCCGGGCATGCAAGGCAAGGACCTTAACCACTGCGCCACTGCGCCGGGCCCAACCTCCCTCTTTTCAACAGTCCAGAAGCCCTATCAGTGAATGTCCTTATGCAGGTATCTTTGAATATGAAAGGTTATTTCTTCAGGGAAATTTCCAAAAATGAAATTAAAAGCAAGTAATTTAGTACGTAAAACTTACTTCAGTTTATTTTTTTTCAATCAGTTTATAAAGAAAGAGCAGTTGTCTCAGAGAGACTCATTCTTGTCCTTGCAGATTGTTTGTTGAGGGCTTTAGACTAATTTTTGTTTGTCTCTGTTTTCAAAATCCTTCTCTTCTCTCCTTGGCAGCGGCCCTTCTCAGCATCCCTGGCTTCGTTGAACGACTTTGCAAACTGGCAACTCGAAAAGTGTCAGAGTCGACGGGCACAGCCAGCTTTCTTCAGGAGTTGGAGGAGTGGTACACATGGCTGGACAATGCTTTGGTGCTAGATGCCCTGATGCGAGTAGCCAATGAGGAGTCTGAGCATAATCAAGGTACCTGGGCTGGGATTGACCTCTGACCCTGGGGAGACTTTCCTGTGAGCAGCTGCAGCCATCCTGGGCTTCTTTTCCCAGAAGAATTGATTTGAGATTTTTCTCAATTTAAAATTTTCCTCGAGGCAGTCCTTGACCACTGCTGTTATTATGCCTTTGGATTGTGAGTTACCGAAACTTCCTGAATTTCCTCCAGGTGGACTTCTGTGTAGGGGAATGGGCTTTGATGCAGAAGCTGAGGCAGCAAGCAGAGCATTCTTAGGCACTCAGGGAAGTCTGTCTTGGAATCTTGTTTCTGTATATGCATTTAGCCTTCTCTCTTCCTGTGCCTGGTGTGTTTGTTAGGGTGAAGCAGCAGACTGGTTGGTAAGTACTTGGTTAGATTCCTCATCTCAAGGCCATCTTGAGTCCAGTGCTCACATCTGAAGTATTTGGCCAGCAGAATGAGGTCAGATTGTACAAACGCAGTAATTCTCATGTCCCAAAAGGAGTATGCTGTATTACCCCAAGGGCTAGGCCACCAGCTTTTCTTGCCCTTATAATTCCCAAGTTGAAGAGAGTAAGTTTTGGGTTGAGAATGATCAGAAGGGGACGGGCTTCTTCCTATACCCAGATCCATGCCACACCAACGGTGTGGTACTTTATTCCTGGATGTTTCAGGGTCTGGATACTAGGACTCCACTTTGCCATCTCCTGTGTTCTGCCCCAGGAGAGCAGAGGCTTCTACACAGCCCCTCAGGATGGCTCAGAGGTTTTCTCAAGAGGAGAGGCAATTGATAAGAGCAGAATGTGAGGAAAGTTTAACATAAAAACAATGCAAATTTTGGTGGCAAGCAAATAAAAGAAGGCCAGTATCTCTTAAGAACTAGATAAATGGTAGACCAGGTAGTTTACTGCTTAACCAGGAAAGAACCAATTAAAAGCTCCCCTAAAGTCAGCAAATCCCAGTGTCAAAACTACTCCTTCCCAAAGCCATTCTTGCTCTTTTTAATTGAATCAGACTTTGGAGCAATTTATGCCTCGGAACTTTGTCAGAAGAGTAGAGCCATTTCAACAGTTTGTTGCCCTGGGTGTAATAGCAGATAAGGCAGAAAGCCACTAGGAGCAGGGAAGAGAACCCCATTAAACCTTACTCCTGGGGTACTGAGGCCACCCAGGGCCACCCAAGGCCATGCTCTCAGAGGTGCCACATCATAGGCTTTCCTGAGTTCAGGCAGATCACTCATCTAAATAGATGAGCGAAGAGCAGCAAGCCCTGAGGAAGAGGAATTGGCATCCAGAGTGGCTACATTATATCACCTCAAATTTACAGGTTTTGTTTTTTGAAGAGATTATTTTTATTGGAAATCTAGGTTTACAGATAGAAGGAAAAACAGAAAGATCTTCATTCTGCCATTTCACTCCCCAAACAGCCACAATAGCCAGAACTGAGGCAAACTGAAACCAGGAACCAGAAGCTGCTTCTGGGTCTCCCATGCAAGTGCAGGTTCCCAAGGTTTTGGGCCATCCTCTACTACCTTCCCAGGCCACAATCAAGGAGCTGGATGGAAAGTGGAACAGCTGTGACAGAAACTAGTGCCTATATGGGATCCTGTTGCTTGCAGGGGGAGGATTAACCAATTAAGCCATCACGCCAACTCCAAATGTCCAATTTTTAACATCAATCATACATGCAAAGATTCACATGCAGACACAATATAACAAAATCATTGAAGAAAAGTAAACCTTGAAAGCTGCAGATGAGAAATGGCTCATTGTGCCTTAAGATGTCCTCTAAGTTGTTCAGCTGACTTCTCATCAAGAATAATGGCATGAGAAGGCCTGGGGCTAGCCAGGTAGTGTGGTATAGCTACTTAAGCCACCACCTGTTAGGCCAGCATTCCAGAATGCAGTTCAAGTCCTGGCTGATGTGTGTGCCTGGGAAGGAGCAGAAGAGAGCCCAGTTTCTTGGGCTCATGCTAACTGTGAGGGCCATGCTGTGGTGTAGTGGGTAGAGCTGCTGCTGTGGTACTGGCACCCCATGTGGGAGCTGCCTATGTCCCAGCAGCTCCCCTTCCCAGCTAATGGCCAGGACAAGCAGCAGAGACCCACACGAAGCTCCTGCTTCCTGACTCAGCCTGGGCTGGCCATAGGTTTTGCAGCCAGTGGGGAGTAAACCGGTGGATAGAAAATTATCTTTTTTCTCCTTTCCTTCCGCTCCTTCTTTGTCTTCTCCCTCTGTTATTCTTTCAGATAAATGAATAATTTCTTTTTTAAGTGCTCTACTAACATAGCCCTCAGCTAACATCACAGCTAATGGAAGAAGATAAAAACGTTCCCACCTGCTAAAGGAGTCAGAGAATGTGTCTGCTCAGACCACTTCTGTTACACATTGTATTGGAGGTTCTGGTAGGATAATTACGTAAGAAAAATGAAAGGTATCTAGATTAGAAAAGAAATAAAGCAATTTGTATACACAGATGACATGATTTTGTATGTGGAAAAAACAGAAGAATCCAGGAAGTGAATTCAGCAAAGTTTTAGGACACTAGATTAGTATAATAAAGAGTATTTCAGTATAGCAAAAGGTAACAAACCAAAAATCATAACACCAAAATCATAGCACCAAAAATAATAAAATGCTTAAGAATTATAAGGAAGTACAAAACTTAGCACTCTGAAAATCACAACCCATCCTTGGGAGGAGACACCTTCCCAACAGATGAACGGATGTGGTATGATGAGACGCTGTCGGATGTCACGTGTGCTGTGATGAGGCGCTGTCGGATGTCACGTGTGCTGTGATGAGGCGCTGTCGGATGTCACGTGTGCTGTGATGAGACGCTGTTGGATGTCACGTGTGCTGTGATGAGGCGCTGTCGGATGTCACGTGTGCTGTGATGAGACGCTGTCGGATGTCACGTGTGCTGTGATGAGGCGCTGTCGGATGTCACGTGTGCTGTGATGAGACGCTGTCGGATGTCACGTGTGCTGTGATGAGGCGCTGTCGGATGTCACGTGTGCTGTGATGAGGCGCTGTCGGATGTCACGTGTGCTGTGATGAGACGCTGTTGGATGTCACGTGTGCTGTGATGAGGCACTGTCGGATGTCACGTGTGCTGTGATGAGGCGCTGTCGGATGTCACGTGTGCTGTGATGAGACGCTGTTGGATGTCACGTGTGCTGTGATGAGGCACTGTCGGATGTCACGTGTGCTGTGATGAGACCATGTCGGATGTCGCGTGTGCTGTGATGAGGAGACATTGTCAGATGTCGCGTGTGCTGTGATGAGGAGACATTGTCAGATGTCGCGTGTGCTGTGATGAGACGCTGTCGGATGTCACGTGTGCTGTGATGAGGAGACGCTGTCGGATGTCGCGTGTGCTGTGATGAGGAGACATTGTCAGATGTCACGTGTGCTGTGATGAGACGCTGTCGGATGTCGCGTGTGCTGTGATGAGGAGACATTGTCAGATGTCACGTGTGCTGTGATGAGGAGACATTGTCAGATGTCACGTGTGCTGTGATGAGGAGACGCTGTCAGATGTCGCGTGTGCTGTGATGAGGAGACATTGTCAGATGTCACGTGTGCTGTGATGAGACGCTGTCGGATGTCACATGTGCTATGATGAGGAGACGCTGTCAGATGTCGCGTGTGCTGTGATGAGACGCTGTTGGATGTCGCGTGTGCTGTGATGAGGAGACATTGTCAGATGTCACGTGTGCTGTGATGAGACGCTGTCGGATGTCACATGTGCTGTGATGAGGAGACGCTGTCAGATGTCACGTGTGCTGTGATGAGATGTTGTCAGATGTCACGTGTGCTGTGATGAGACGCTGTCAGATGTCACATGTGCTGTGATGAGGAGACGCTGTCAGATGTCGCGTGTGCTGTGATGAGATGTTGTCAGATGTCACGTGTGCTGTGATGAGACGCTGTTGGATGTTGTGTGTCGTGTGTGCTGTGATGAGGAGACACTGTTGAGGTGGCAGTGCTCCTGCATGTTGACTTACAAGTGAGTCTGTCAGTCCATCACAGTCCCTACCCAAAGTCCCAGCAAGTTTCTTTGCAGAAATGAAGCCACTGATCCTAAAATTGATGTAGAGAAATAAATGCAAACAATCTAGAAAAGCCAAGAGTCTTGAAAAAGAAGACCTGTTAACAGAGTTTGTGCTTCCAGATTTGAAAGCTTGGAACAGCTGCGGTTGCCAAGAGACTTTGTTCCAGGCATAAGGATAGCCAAAGAGATCCCTGGAGTATGAAAGAGATTTTCAAAATAACATTCACATGTCTGGCCAGTTGATGCTCATAAAGGCACCAAGACCGTTTGGCACAGGAAAAATAGTCCTTTCACAAATAATGCTGGGCCATTGGATAACCACAAGCAAAAAGCAAAATTGGGTCTTCTACCTCACATTGTTATCTTTCAAGAAAGACATAGAACCAATCTTCATGTGGTTACATTTGGTTCTAATCATAGGTTATATCTTTAGCATAAACAACCAGATTAATAATAAATAAATTAGACTTCATGGAAGTTGAAACCACTGTACTTAAACAACAACAACAAAACCACTATCAAGAAAAAAAAAAAAAACACTCCCAGAATGGGAAAATGTCTTTGCAAAAAATGCCTAATATGGATATTCAAAATATATAGGAAACTCCCTAACTCAGAAATAGACAACTCATTTCAAAACGTGGATGGAAAATCTGATTAGAAATTTCTGCGTAAGATACAGCAGTGACCAGTACACATGTTGAAATTATGTTCAGCCTCATTAGCTGTCAGGTAAATGCAAATGAAAGCCCCAGTGAGGATCTGTTTCACACTGGGATGTTTTTCATGAAAGATGTGACATGTGTTGGCAAGGAGGTGGAGAAGTCAGACCCTCCATTATGTGCTATTGGTGGGCACATAAGAAGGTGTGACCACTTTTCAAAAAACAGTCTGGCACTTCCTCAAAAGATTAAGTGCACAACTTCCATGGCCCTGAAATTCTACTCCTAGGTAAAATGAGAAATGAAAACAAATTTGCACAAAAGCTTGTTCGTGGCTGTTCATTGTGGCATCTTCATAACAGCCAAAAATAGGGACACCTCAGATCTGTCAGCTAATGACTGGGTCACTGCATGAGTAGGGTACATTCATACAGTGGGGTTTGGCTCAGCAGTGTAATCTAAGAATGAGGTGCGTGCTACATGCTGGATAAACCCTGATAACGTGCCAAGTCAGAAAGGCTAGTCGCCAAACACCATGGGTTTAATGACCACCTAGAACTGAAAGGTTTGGTCAGAAATGGGACTTACTGCTAAATGCATACAGGATTTCTTTTGGAGATGATTAAAATGTTCTAAAATTGATTGTGGTGGCTGCACAACTCTGTACTTGATCTTAGCCTAAGGTCCAGAAGCGATGGCTACCCAGCTCTGAATATGCCAGAACCCACTGAATTGTGGTCAGCTGGGTAGATTGTAGGATATGTGAATTGTAGCTGTTGGAGTGGGGTGTGGCCAGACTCAGAGTAGTCACCACCTTCGTCATTGTTATGGCAGGGAGAAGCACAGGGAGCACAGGCCTCCTGAACCAGCTGGGTTCTCTTCTCATCCTCCAGTATAACTTTGTTGCTGAACTCTTGCCTTTGCTTTAAATATTATGTTTCTTTGAAAAACACGTACTCCAGGGAGTATGTGCGGTCTGGGCTATCTGGGCTGTGGGAATTGGTGATTTGAGGAGTCCGGGCTGCTTGTGTGTGTCTCTGCATGCACATTCGTTGTTGAGGTGGGCCTGGGTGCCACACACCGTCTGCCCCTCCACCCTGGCCCTGCCAGAGCCCCTTGAGCTAGGTGATGAGGATGCCAGTCAGACATGCAGCACAGGCAGATTCTCGCCCATGGTCCTTCTTTTTGTCCTCACATATTAACTGGACATGATTGAGTAATTACAGCTTTTCCCCCCAAGGTAGAAGAAAATACATGTGAGCAGGTAGCACTCTGTGCAAAAGTCTAAGTCTTAGTTGCCATTAAGGGCTTTCAGATTGAAAACAAGTAGCAAGCAAGCCTCTGCAGTTCCTTGTGTCTTCCAAGTTATCATGTTAGATGTGCGTGTTAGTCTAGTTCCTTGAATCTTTGCAGTATTAGCAGTCTGGTGTTGTTGCCACACTGCTGTTTGAAGCACAGTCGCCCAGCTGGAGAAGGGTGGCCAGCCCAGCACTCTGGCCTCAGCAGTGTCCTCCCCTGCCATGCTGCCTCTCTGACATGCTTCATTCAACAGCATCTCTTCTCCCGGGGTTGTGATTTTATACCACCCTTGGAGATAGCTGGTGAGTACTCCTATACCTACATGCTTTCAGCCCTTTCAGGGGCCTCCAGGGCAGCAGGCCCAGGAAGGAGCTTGGAAGGAGTTAGTTAATACTCATCTTTTCACCATCAAGGTGAGGAAACCAAAGGGAAGATCTTTCCTAAGGCCCCCGACCCTGTGGAAGTCCTCTGAGCAGTGCTCTTTAAGTCACAGGGACCCTGCCATGATGGGCCGCCTGAGAATCAGGTTTCTCTACTCAGTCCTACAGTAACCCTCACCACTGCCCAGAGTGGCCCGGGCCAGGGAGGAGGTGCTTGGGCCAGAGTCTGTCTGCAGTTGTAATTCCAGGGCCTACATACTGGTCCCTTGTTCCCCTCCTTCCACCGTGACCTAGATGACCTGCAGTTTTGTGTCAGCTGAGTAATAGAGTAAATGAGATGGATTCCCTAAACCTAAGGTATGATGCCTGACACATCCTGTCCCGTCAGTGTGGCTTGTCTGCTGACACTGGGAATAGTGAAATGGGGTAAGAAGATCTGCTAATTCATGTAGATAGTGCATTCATCTGGATCACTAGTGTTAGTTGTGATTCCTAATCTGCTTTAGGAAGTTGAATCTTAGAATTGCTTCTCGGCCTTTTGGCTAAGATCAAGTGTAGAAAGTTGAATCTTAGAAAACTAAATGGTTTTCCTTTGTAACAGAGGGGGAAATTTTTCAAAAGGATCCCTTTCAACTTCAGTGGTGCCCCCTAGTGGAGGCCACTCAGGAGACGCTGGTGTTCAGCACCTTTGTGTCCTGAAGGAAGAGCTTCCCAGGCTCCTCACACATCTGGGCACTTCTGGAGCAACTGGTTGCTGGGAGGAGAGCTGAGGAAGCAGGGAGGGGACAGAGCATGTTACTGTATTGGCTGTGTTAGAGCATTTTTACTCTTATAGTTGAGACAGTAGAACTGAAGTCCATTTTTCTGCATTGCCTAGATTCTGGGGGGTGTGGTTGGAGTTTTGTGACTTTGGAAGTCTCCGTTCTGGGCTCAGAGTCTGATCTGATGTCTCTGTGACCTCCAGTCTGTTTAGGGCAGGTTTGAGGAGCTGTGACTCAACACTGTCTCCCGGTGGCTGTGTCAGCCTCCACTGTGTTCCCTCCTCCAGGGGCTTCTGAGGACAATGGCCTGCCTCACACTTCAACTAGGACCCAGCTGCCCCAGTCCATGAAGATCATGCATGAGATCATGTACAAACTGGAAGTGCTCTATGTCCTCTGCGTGCTGCTGATGGGGCGTCAGCGAAACCAGGTGGGCCCCTCTCCACCCCCTCAGAACAGGGAGCCATAAACAGGTACTGCCTGGGTGCTTGTGGCGTGCCAAGCCATGCCTCGCTGCAGCCCAGCAAAGTGCAGGGTGTGTTTGTCATGTAAGAAAACTAGGCTGGTTCTGGAGCTCTGGTTCTTTGCACTGTACCTCACCAGGGGCAGCATTGGAACACAGGACCAGGGCAGGAAGCTTACCACAACAGCAAGGGTCAAGGGTTGATGACTAATAAGATTGGCCCTGCCAATGCAGTCTTTGTGGCCTTGGAATGACAGGGCAGAGCCCAAAGCTCCGTCCAGTTTGAAAACCCAGGTTCGGTTGAGAGCAACTCCAGTTGAGCTAGGATGGGCTGACCCTTGAAACAGACCTGGAAAGGGGGAGGAAGGAGTGAGGACCTGTAACCTGTGGTGCTAGAGTGCACAGCACCTGGCATCCCGAGGGGTGTTTTCTGCTGACCGGGTGCGCGGGGAGGATAGCTGCTCTTGCTTTGCTGAGTTTACAGTGAACTGCCTCAACTCCGGGTGGAATGTGCCACTTATCCGCACTTTACAGGTGAGGAACGCTTCACAATGTGGTAGGCAGGGAAGCTTCACTGAGCAGATCACGTTTGGCATGGCGCTTTCCCTGGGGAAGCCTGCCCAGCAGAGAAGCTTCACTTTGGGGTGGGACAGTTGAGAAGCCTGGTAGATGGTTCAACCCAAGCAGCAACAAGGGCTGAGGGGCCACAGGGGCCAGATCCTGTGCAGCTGGAGTAAGTGAAAGGCTGGGACAGCACGTCTGGGAGTCGGAGAGGCATTAGGACCTCAGTCAAGCCAAGAGGTGCTAGTAGTTGAGAACATGCTGGTTGTGGGACTGGTGGAAAGTGTTTACATTCTGGGTGTGTTGAGGAGAATGCCCAAAGTCTGTGGCCTAGGCAAGTACAGGGATGGGATTCTTCTGCTATTTGTTGAGATGGTCAAGACTGGTGGGTGAGGAATAGAGGGGCCAGCCACGGGAGGAAAATGAATCCCGACTAAATAAGAGATTTGAGGTGTCTGACAGCTGACAGTTGGAGTTGGGGATCCCTCAGGACTGAGTCTTCAGGCAGTGTGTATTTGAAACCTGGACCTGAGACCCCACAGATCACTGGAGCACGCCTGCTTGCAGCGTATGTCTTTGCACTCAATGCTTTGCTGTTCGGAAACCCTTTCATGGTGAACTCAACAGGCCACGACACATTCTCCCTGTACTTGCTGCCTGATCGCCTTGTGCTCAATGTCCCAGCTCTGGGAGGACACTGCCCTGCCTTCTCTGTCTCTCGCCACAATTCCCCTTTTTCTAAGTCCTCTGAGAGCAAGGTACAATGCTTATTGGGATCTCTCTGGGACACTGGGATCCTGGCACTTCTTTTTTGGGAAGGGTACCACCACTGCCTGGACTCTGTTGGACTAGCACACTCTGTGCATTGAGCACTGACCCAGCTCCTCCCATGTGCCACCCACTGCAAGCATGTGGAGTCATAGGTCCTGCCTAGCCAGGATGACAGGGTCAAATTTTCCTATTCAGGCCTCTCAGATGGCATCCTCCTTGAAGTGGTCTCTGAGTGTACATTTGGGCCAGGTTCTATGACCAGTATTGGCCTAGTTAAGAGCACACAACTGTAAATACAGCCAAATGCCGTTCCATCCTTCTGGTGCTAATGCAGCTAATCCAAGTAGCGGTCATTTTCCCCTAGTATGCTGAGCTGCTTCCACATTAGCTCACAGATACCTGTCCACAGCTTTGTTAGCTTCTGTGTTCCACCAGGGCACTCAGGCCCAGGGTCCCAAAGCAGACCCTGAAACCTGTGGCTTCACCCAGCTCCTTCATCCTGCCCACCTGCCTGCTTTTCCACAGACTCCCCCACTTCCAATCCTGAGAGCAGCTGACAGGCTGGACCTGAGACTGGGAACAATGCATTGAATGAATACCAGTTGCCTTCTCTGTGAGGAAGCTGGTGGTTTCATGAGAAAGGGGAGTAGCGTTGTAAAAAACGGCAAACCTAAAACTGGCTTGGACTTCTGGAAACCCTTTGTAGTATATCCTTCCGGAGACTTTTGTTGTTATTGAAATGAATACATTTCTTTCATAGTTACTTTGCATATGCACAATTTCTTTCTTAATGTCCCTTAACAGTTGTTCAATTCCGCTGTGTTTAACAATCTGCCTTTGGTGAAAAGCAGATATGCAGGGAAAGAGATCTTCAATCAGCTGGTACACTCCCCAGATGATTATAGTGGCCAGGGCTGGACCAAACCAAAGCCAAAAGCCAGGAGTTTCTTCCCAGCAGCCTAAATCATGTTAGTACCCAGGCCACTCAGTGTTATCGTAGGATGCCCCGTGTGGAGCATGTTCTGATTGTACTGTGCAAGTGGTTTTGATAGTTCTGAGATGCTGTTGATTTTGTTGCTCCAAGGTTGAAGAAATCCTTCCAAGGTCCATTGGTTGATATAGTCTGCCCTAGAGTCTCTTCTTGCCCAGATATTTGCTATCGAAGTTTGGCCAGGAGAGTTGTCCAATTTGTTCTGCCATCCGTGGTATCAGACATCCTCTGCAGGCTTCAATCAGTTGATGTCATGGTTGTCATGCCCCCAATGTGCATGCTGTCTCCTGCACAGGCTTCAGCAACTGAGGAGATTCAGTTCTGACAGACCACAAATCCTGTGATTTTCCCCATGGTTGAAGTTTTAAATTCAGCAGAATAGTTGGGATAGGGGGTCCCCCAAGAAACTTCACCAGAGGTGATCCTAGAACTGATTCCTGTATGTGCCAGCCAGTGCAGGATCTGACTCAGTCCATCTCCCACATCAGCCTACACACTCTGGTGGTTGGTAGTTGCCTGATCAGTTCTGTTGCTGCCCCTGTCTCATACACAAACCAGCCTTGTCCTGTCCACTATACAGTCTACCCTCACACTCAGCAGTGGGAACTAACCAATTGAAGCTACCCTCAATAACCCCTACCAGACCTACTCCCAGCCTTGGTTCCTGTGAATGCTGTTACGTGCAGCAGACTGGTCCATTCAGTTGTGCAACCTGTTCTGCACTCATGCTCATAAATGAAGGCTGCAGCTTAGCTCGGCCTGACCAGCCCCACTATCCAGACCACACTCACACCAGTGGCTGTCACCTGTCTAGCCAGGCCCGTCCCCAGCCCTGGTTCCAATGCTCACTACTGAGAGCTGCACCCCATCAGAGAGGTGCTCACAGTTTCCTTACCAGGCCCACTCCCACCCCAGATCTTACTCCTTCTAGGTGGTACTGTCGTCTAGGCTGACAGGACTTGCCCCCAGTCCCAGCACTTGCAAACTGATCTTATGGCTGGCACGTAGCTCTGGCTCATGTGTGCTTAAGTTTATACAGTCACTTAGCCTAGCCTAGCTCTCCCCCTAACTAGCTCACATGGAGGCCAACGGGTTTTGTAGCCATAACCATCTTAGCCCCCAGTGCCAGCTCTCCTGCTCACCAGTGGGGAACAGTGGCCAAGCAGAGGAGCCCTGCAGCTCCCCTAGCAGGCTCACCGCCTTCACCAGGTTGTTACATGTGCTGTTGGGAGCTGCGGCCTAGTATCATGGCCCGCCTCACTTCAGCGTTTTCTAGCAAGTGCTATAGCCTGGCTTGGCCCTGCCTGCCCCTAGTTCCAGCTTGTGCTGCAGGATGCTAGTTTAGCCCAACCCAGCCATTCTGCAGCCATGACTGGTGTTGCAGCCTAATTGGCCTGTCCTGCACCCCATCCTGGTGTTCTCATCTGTCAGTGGGTGCTATGAACTGGCCTAGCCTGTCCTGCCCTCAGACCTGACCCACAAATATGCTGGCAGGTACTGTGAGCTGGCTCCCAGCTGTGGTTCTTGCACTCACCTGCAGGGATTGTGTCTTGACAGTGTTCTCCAAGCTCCTCTATCAGATCTCCTCTCAAATTGCAGACCTTGCGCATATTGGTAGGTTCTTGGTCCAGCCTGACGTGGCCCACCTCTCGTCCTGGCATGTACAGCAGCCTTACTCCACTGGCCCACACTCAGTCCAGTTTTTACTGTTGGGTGTTACATCCCAGCCCACCTGGCCCACCCCCAGACCCAGCTCTCGTATGTGTGTCAGTGGGTCACAGTGGGTGCCGAGACCTAGCCCAGCCCATCCTGCACCCATCCTAGCTCTTGTGAGCACCAGCGGTTGCTGGAGCCTAGCATACTCTGGCACATCCCAGATCCAGATCCAGTCCACACCCATGCGAAGGAGTGCTGCAGCTGTGTCCAGCCCAGTTTGCCACTCGCATCCCTACTTTTGCACTCACCCAGTGATTCATTACAGCTCCCCAGTTAGCTCCCATTAGCTCCCCA